CTTTGGGTCACCACTCCGACCCCCCTCATTTGCATCAATATGATTGTTTGGGGTCTTCTGATGGCTGATACCTGATCCCATTGACACCTTGTGATCACACAGGTTGGTGTACTTCTTCCATGTGGGCTTTGTTGCTTCTCTGCTAGATGGCCGCTTGTTTAACTTCAAGTCTTTAAGACACTATATTTTGTAATAGCTGGGCACCATCAGCTTTCTTCACCACATTTACTTATGCACACATTTTGTCTTCAGCAATCATGTCGGGAAGGTGAGCATCACAGAATGCCGGATTGTTAGAACAAAGTGTTCTTGTGTTGAGGGAGGACTTGAGTAGAGGCCCAATGTCCATCTGCTACCTTAATAATTAACATATAAATATATGTACATAGACCTATATCCCTATTGTTATATATTAATATATTTACATGTGTACATGCCTGTATTTTTTAAAGGATATTTTTCTTTATTCAAGTAACTGCAAATAGGAAACAAGAGGAGGGCCCCAGGTGGGACATAGAAGGCTGCCCCTCCCCAACAGAACAGGAGGAGAGGGCGGCCCTCTGCCCTCCCCAGTACCACTCCCCTCCTCACTCTGCTGCAGCATCCTAGGGGCAAGCCCCTACCCTGCCTGGGCCTGGGCAGTCACCCAGCCTGCTGGGCCTGTACATGCCTGTATTTAGACCTCTATAAATGTCTTTTTTTTTTCTTTGTGTGAGAAAGTGAGAGAGTGAGTGAGTGAGTGTGTGAGAGAGTGAGTGAGTGAGTGAGTGAGAGTATGAGAGAGTGAGTCAGTCAGTCAGTGAGTGAGTGAGAGAGTGAGTGAGTCTATAAATGTCTTTTGCTTCCTAGTTTTTCCCTCTATTTCCTTTTACTTTTCTCCTGTCCCACGATCATAATTGACCTTCATTCAGCGAGCCGTTTCTTGATATACATCTCTTTCTATATGCATACATGTACAAGTGTCACTTGTCTTTAGGATTTCATGTCCCTAGGTACCAGGTTACGAGCTCTAGTGGCATAGTGGCCATGTGTTGGGCTGCTAACTGCAAGGTCAGCAGTTGGAAAGCACCAGATGCTCCATGGGAGACAAATGGGGCTTTCTACTTCCATAAAGAGTTACAGTTTGGGAAGCCCACAGGGGCATTTCTCCGGTCCTATAGGCTGTCCGGGAATCGGCACCGACGTGATGGCAATGAGTTTGCTTGGGTTTGGATGGGTACCAAGTGCTGTGCGTGCTGCAGTCTCCTTGTGCCTTGTTATGTGCGTGCCTGCGTAGGATGCCCGGGTTTCTGTGGGTCTTGAGGAATATGCTGCAGGCTCATTGTCTCGGTATTTCTGTAACTGCGTGTGCCCAAGAGAGAGAGATCTGGTGACACGGGCCTATAGATTACAGGGTCTGGTGATTTCTGTCCTGTTGTGCTGTGTGATGTTGATGTGGGTCTCATGGTAGGTGTGTGTGTGAGAAAGAGACCGGTTTGGAGGGGAGGGGGCCATAGTGGTGTGTGCTGCAGTATGATGAGTGTGGATATGTAAGCGCCAAAGTGTCCTTGTTTCTTTACGTCACATAGTGCATGTGACTTTTCGTGTGTGCAGAGTGTGTGTTAGGCTTGAGTTTTCTGTGGGAGTGTCTGCATCTGTTTCACAGGCTGGGGCTCTGTCTTGCTTTTGCCTCTGTCTGCTGATGGCGAGGGTTTGTGGCGCATGTGTGCTAAAGGGTTTGCCTCTGTATTTCTGTCTGTCTGGGAGAGAGGCTGTGTATGTCTTTGCAGGGTGTGTACTTGCCTTGGTGTTTCTTGGGTGGTTCTGGTAGTGGTGTGTGTGGTGTGTAGTATGTTTGTATCAATGCTTCGGTGTGTGTAAGGTTGTGGGTCGAACGACCCTTTCACAGGGGTCGCCAGATTCATCACAGTAGCAAAATCAGTGATGAAGTAGCAACGAAAATAATTGTATGGTGTGGGGGGGTCACCGCAACATGAGGAACGGTATGAAAGGGTCGCGACATTAGGAAGATTGAGAACCACCGCTCTAGTGTGTATCTGTGGTTCTTTCATTGTGGTTGTCTGTGTATGTATTCTGTGTTCTGTGACTGTGGTGCAGTGTGTGTGTGTGTGTGTATTTGCAGAGTGTTTTTCTCTATACCACGAGGACGACGTGTTGTGTTTGGAGTCCTGGCGTCATCGTGGGCTATGTATTGACTGCTCACGGAAAGGTCTGCAGATCAAACCCACTAGCCACTCCTTGGCAAGAAAGATGGGACTGTGTGCTCCCCTCTAGATGGACAGTATTGGAAACTTTAAGGGACAACTCTGCCCTATCCTAAGGATCACTAGGAGTTGGAATCCACTCACTAGCAGTGGGTTTGGCTTGGCTTGATGGGTTTGTTTTGGTGTGTTGTCAGGTGAATAGTTTCTTGGTGTTTCTTTGTGTCCACAGGGTGTGGACCTATGTTGCTGAGGGGGAGGAGCTGTCCCTTCAGGTTTGTTGTGGTGTGCAGTGTGTTTCGTGTGGTGCGATTCTGTTTTGATGTTGTGTACCTGGTGGACTGTGTGTGCTGCAGGGCCTGTCTCTGCACATTTAAATCTGGTGATGGGCACGTACATGTGTGTATGTGTGTGTGTGCCAGCCTTCTTGTAGCTGTTTCACTGGTTTGTTGCAGGACTTGTAAGTGTGTGAGTGTGTGTGTGCATGTGCCTGTTTCTGGATTTCTGGTGGATGTGGCTGGGGAGAATGTTGCTTCAGTTCATGTGTGCAGGGTCTGTGTCTCTCTGTGGGGGCTGTCTTTGGGACGCAGGCTTTGTAGCGGTCTTGTGGCTGCTTTTTGTCCTGTGTCGGGGTGTGTCTGCAGGTCTGGTGGTGTGTATACGTCTGTTGTCGGTGCTTATGAGGTGCTTACCAGGTGGTTCTGGTAACGTGTGTGTTTTCATTTCTTTCTCTGACGGTAGATTTGAGTCTGGCAGGGTGAGACCTCAATGCTTACCCTGGGTCTGGTTGTGCGTGTCATTGCAGTGTGTGTGTGTGTGTGTGTGTTTCCATGGTTATTTCTGTGTTACAGGGTGAATTTCTGCCCGTCTGTCAAGTGGTGGTGCGGTGTGGGTGTGGGTGTTCTGGTTATAGGGTGATGTCTCCCTATGTGTCTGTAAATCTCATGATGTCTGTCAGTCACGTGTGTGCATTACAGGATGTGTCTGTGGCTGGTATTGGTGGTGTATTGTGATTGTAGGGGGGGCTGTCTTCCTGGGTGTATCTGGGAGTCTGGTGACGTGTGTGTGTGTCTCTGTACCATGTGTTACAGGGCGTGTCTATGTGGGTGGTGGGGGGGCGGGTGTTTTCCTGTGAGTCTTTATGAGCCTGGTGACATGTGGGTGTCTCTGTGGACCGTGTGCTGTGTCCTTGCTGGACGCCAGGCTGGGCTCTGGCACTTCTCCAGTCCCTACATTCCTCTGGCTCCTTTGTGTTCTGTGCTACAAAAAAAAATATTTGCATTTTCCACGACTCATAATTTTTCCTTCTCAATCGCTACCAGATGTGGGTCCTGTGGTCCCTGTCCCCATGGCAACAGAGGTTCCCGCAGCCACAGCGCCCTTTTGTGGCGCCAGCTCCAGAAGCTGGCTCTGCTGTGAAACCCAGGGGGTGGAGAGGGAGCAGGCGGTACTTCCAGGAATGAGAAGCATTGGGGGTCCCAGCAGCTCCCTCCCTAGGTGGCCATGGATCCTTGCAGGGGGAGGGGGGAAGGGATGCTTCTTAGCCTTGGGTACACAGGGCATTTGGCAGGGGCTGGGGATATTCCCAGAGAGGAGGTCCTGAAGGTGGGGACTGGGTCTCCTCACAGGGTAGGTGCACAAGCCCAGGAAAGGCTGGTTGTTGGGCTGCCCTTGGTCTCCCTCACCATGTCAATACCAGCTGGGGGCTGCTGGGTAGTCAGGAGGGAGCCATGTGGTAGCACACGGAATTGGGGGGCATGGACTTCTGTTGAACCCCATATAAGGTCACTGGCCCACCCTCACTAGGCCCAACCAAGCATGTTCACCCCGGAGCTGGTGTCTCACCTCCAGCCTAACATGGCACACTGGCCCACCTCACTAGGCCCAACCAAGCATGTTCACTCCGGAGCTGGTGTCTCACCTCCAGCCTAACATGGCATGTGATGGGTTGAACTGGCAGACACAGGGCCATAGCTGGGAGGGTGACCGCTGGCCCCCAATAGCCATGAGGCCCTGAGACAGGAGCCATAATCCACATGCTGCCCAACCAGGCCCTGCTAGCCACTCCAGATGCCTGGAAAACCACAATGCCATCTCCTCGCAGGTTGACTTCCATGAAGCCCCTGGTCAGAGCATGGGAGGCCAGGATGACCAATGGAATGAGCTGCCAGCTTTGATCAAACCCTAGCGCTGAGAGGGCAGAGGGGAATGGAGTGGAGGGACCTCACCTGACTCAGAAGACTTCACGCTGGGCATCCCCAAACAGGGCAGAGGCCAGGAGAAAGAGGAGGCCTGCAGGGTGGGGTGGGCAGAGGCCAGATGGATGCAGCTGTGGGAAGTTTGTCGCCGTGGGGACAGTATTAAAAGAAGCCAGCCAGTTGCCCTGGAGTGACAGTGAGTGTGACTCATGGTGGTTTTCCAAAGCAGACTATCACATCTTTCTTCCCAGATGCCTCTGGGTGAAGAAGCCCTGGTGATTTGGGGAGTAAGAGTTAGCCTGCTAATCTAAAAGTCAGTGGTTCAAACCCACCAGCTGGTCCACAGGAGAAAGAGGAGGCTGCCTTCTTCTGTAAAGATTTACAGTCTTGGAAATGCTATGGCACAGTTCTATTGTCCTCCAGGGTCACTGTCAGCCGGAATCGACTAGACAGCACAGAGGTGGAGCCCTGTGGGTGGATTCAAACCTCCAATTAGCAGCCCAGCTGTTAACTATGTGGAATCTCCAGGGACTCACAGGTAAAGCAGCGCAAGCCACAGAAGGGACCTGTGGCTTAGGAAAGTCACGCCACAGATGTGGCCTCAGGAGATTCCTGGGACACAGGGTCACAGACAGAAGGCCAGTCAGCGGGGTCCTGTGAAGCCCTGGCAGCAGCACAAGGGCTGGCTGATAGCAGCTGGCTGCTCCCCGCCTCCCTCCCTCCTCGTTTGACAGCGGCTGCTCAGGCTTATGCTGTGTTTCCTGCTAAAGACAAGGAGCCTATTGAGACGGACAGCAGGGCTCTGTGTGGCAGCAGCCTGTTCTGTTAGTATGGATGAGGCTCGGCTGGAGGTAGGCCTGCAGCCCACTGCCCCCTGCCTCTGCCTGCCCCCACCTCCTCCCAACCAAACAGTTCCCATCCTCCAGTGGCTCCAAGAAGCTGGACCAGCCCCATTCATCCAGGGGCTTTGACCTGCCCACTGGCCAGCATCCCTGACACTGGTCCAGGATGAAGACGATGGGGGGTGGGGGTGGAGGGGGAGGCAGTGTACCAAAGTGAGTGATGAGTGGGACCCACTTCCCACATGGTCCTGGGACACCGTCAAAGTCTCATTTGTGCCCAGGGGTCCAGTGATGGGAAAGCAGGCCAGGGCACAGTCACCTCTGCCCAACTTCCCCTCCTCCCCAACACCAGGCAGCAGGCAGCTAGGAAGGAAAAGGCACTTTTATTAAGAAAGCTTTGGCCAAGCCCCTGGGGGTGGGGGTACACCCAGGGGCACCCTTGGGACAAGGCAGTCTTGTTGAGGCTGATAAATGCATGTCCCCTGGGATGTCCATAGAGGTGCGGGGAGACCATCAATACCAGCTTGACAGTGAGACAATGGGGCTGGAGAAGCTGAGGCTGGGCGCTAGGGTATGCAGGGGCGGCAAGGCTGATCCTGGGGGTGTGGAGACCCAGGGGAGGCAGAGACCAGCTCTACTCCCCCATCAGATTGACCCACTGAACCCACAGGCAAGGGGAAGTAGCTTCTGGTTGTGGCCAAAGACGCCAGGCCTTGACCAAGGAGAGGCAGCCTCGGTAGAAGGGCTTCTGGACACCACACACACACACACACACACACACACACACACACACACACACACA